TGTCTCCTTTCCTCTCAGTTTTGCTGTGAACCTAAAAGTACTCTTTAAAAAAAAAACCTTTAAAAAGTGTGGTGCAATAAAAATGCAAAAAATTAGTAATATTTTTTCTCTTAAAAAAAAAAAACAATCCAGGTTAACTATGGAAAATTTTGACACACGCACACACGCACACAAAAATTGACACAGCAGATGAGTTTTTTAAAAGCACAGTCATTCATAATCTAATCACTTGTAAAATGTTGGTATATTTTCGTCTAATCTTTGTGTACATTTGTGTGTCCGTGTGTGAAAAACAAGGGATATATTGTTTAAAAAAAAGTTATGGTAAATTTCTACTTACAAACAAGATGTACCAGAGACCAGATTTATGTCCTTGCCTGAATACTCCGCCCCCACCGGAAACATAGGTTTTGAGACACTAGATACCAGACAACAGAACGTGATCTCTGGGAGATAAGAAATAAACAAAGTGAGCACTGCAGTTGTGCAGTTTGCTGCCTTGAATTTCCAGGCTGTAGTATAGGAAGAAGAACTGAAGTGGATTCCAGCAGGCTTTCTCATTTGAGGAGATGGAGCTGAGAGTCTGGGGAGATAAGGCAGCTAGAGTTCACAGCACGGAATACCAGAGAGGAGAGCACAGCACTGAAAGAGAACCACAGCAATAAGAGAGTCCTCCAGTGTTTAACAAAGTACTGATCAAGACAATACGGAATGAAAATATATGAAGCCCAGGGAATAACCATATAAAATTATTAGTTGTAACAGTGCCTAGGGCTCACATATGTCTGGCAGTAGAGCTTGTTCATACCAGCTGGTCTAGAAAACCTCTAATTTATGGGGCACTGGGTAGAGAACTGAGAAGGGTCTCATCTCGGTACTGGGGAACGATTAATCTTACACTGAGCACTGCTTTAGATCTACCTAAAAACCATAAAAGTATGACCTGAAAGGATCAATTTGATCCCAAGGAGCTTTATTGCTTCCCAGAGTAGAGGTCGAGAATATTTTTCAGAATACAAAATATTCCAGCACCCAACAAGGTAAAAATCACAATATCTGGCATCCAGTAATAAATCACTAAGAATGCAAGAGGCAAGAAAATACAACCTATACTAAAGAGAATAAGCAATCAACTGAAACACAAAAATTAGCGTTAACAGAGGACATTAAAATAGCTTTTAATGATTGTATTCTGTATATTCAAAAAGGTAAGTAGAAGCACCAAATCAAACTTCTAGAAATGAATACTGTATCTAGGTTAAAAATATTTTGGATAGTACTAACATCAGATTAGACATTGCACAGGAAAAGAGTAGTGAACTTGAAGGCAAAGCAATAGAACCTATCCAAAATGAACCATGCAGGAAAAAAAAAACCTAAAAAAATTTAAAGAGCATCAGTGAGCTACAGAAAAACTTCAGATAGCTTAATATATGGGTAATTGGGATCCCCAAATGAAGGAGAGAATAAATATCTGAAAAAATAATGGTTGAAAACTTGTAAATGTAAGGAATATTCTGAACCCGTAAAATCAGAAAGCTTAGCAAACTCCAAACATAAGAAATAAAACAACACCAAGGCACATAATAATAAATTGCTCAAAACCAGTGATAAAGAGAATATCTTTAAAGCAACCAGAGAAAAATGATACCCTGCACACAGAGGAACAAATTAAGGAGAACATTAGATTTCTCATTGAAAGCAATGTAAGCAGAAACATACAGTGAAACAACATCTTTAAAATAATGGAAAAAAACTATCAATCTAGAATTCTCTACTCAGTACATATAATATTGTTTAAAAATTGAAGTACTTGTAAGAATGTAAAATAGTGTAGCTACTATAGAAAGCAGTATGGTGGTTCCTCAAAGAATTAAAAATAGAATTATCATATGATCCAGCAGTTCTGGTTCTGAGTATATTTCCAAAAGTATTGAAAACAGGATCTATAATCCAAAAAAGGAGACAAAATAAAATTATAAAAAATATTTCATAAGCCAATAGAAGACATAAAAAAAGAGGAAAGAGGGAACAAATTTAGATGGGACAAATAAAAAACAAGTAGCGAGATGGTAGATTGAAATCTCAGCATATGCAAAATCACATTAAATGAAAATGACATCAATATCCCAGTGAAAAGGCCGACATTTTTCAAATTGGGTAAAAAACCCAGGCCCAACTTTATGTACTGTTTAAAAGAAACATACTTTAAATATGAAGATACAAGTAGAATACAAACAAAAGAATGAGAAAAAAATATATAGAGATTCAAGATTATTCTAAAATTTATACATAAAAGCAAAGGAGTGAAAATAGCTAAAAATGCTGAGAAAGAGGAATAAAATAGAAGGAAACACTTTACCTTATATAGCTAAGTAATCTAGACTGTGGTATTATCTGAGAGATAAACACATAGATCACACATAGATCAATTGAACATAATGGAGAACACCAAAATAACCCCACATAAATATGCTCAACTGATTTTCAACGAAGTGCAAAAATCTTCAATGAAGAATGGTCTTTTCATCTAATGGTGCTGTTGCAATGGACATCCACAGGTAAGAAAAATAATCTTGATGTAAACCTCGCATTTTATACAAATAATAACTCAAAATGAAATCAGCAATGGAGAAAACCTGAAAATTCACAAATTCATAGAAATTAAACATGCCCCTGAATAGCCAATGTGTGAAAGAAGCAATCAAAAATAAATCTTAAAAACTCTTGTGTCAAGTGATAATGGAAATACAACATACCGAAACTTATGAGATGCAGCATATATAGTTCTAAAAGGGAAGTTTACAGTGGTAAATGTCTAAATATAGAACAAAGAAAGATCTCAGATTAACAACCTAACTTTACATCTCAAGGAACTACAAAAAGAACAACAAGCTAAGCTCAGAGATAGCAGAAGGGAGGAAATACCAAAACTCAGAGCAGAAATAACTGAAATAGAGACCAGGAAAATCAATAAATAATAATGAAAATGAGAGGTTTTGGTTCAATATATGCAAATAGATAAATACAATTCACCACATTTAAAAAAATGAAGGATACAAATAATATGACCATCTCTTTAAAAATTATTATTATTACAAAAGTTTATTAAATGTACAGCAGTCTCAAGACAACACTTCATTCTAGCTATTGGTTGCACAGATGTTATGGCAGGGAATCCAGATGTTAAAACAGGAATGGAATTAAGGATCACCAATGCCTTAGGTACAAGGAACAGCTCACTTTTTGCCAGATTTCTTAATTCTACATGTGGCCGGGGGCCCTTTCCCGCAGCCTTTGCTTTTAGCATCTTGAGTTTCTTCTGCTGCTCTTCTTTTGCTTGAATGCCTTTATCTTCTTCATGCATCTTCTTGGTCTGTTTGAGGGGAAACTTTTTGCTACATTCTCTGCAGGACAAGGCTCCCGCCACCCCTTCCCCCAATATGATCATCTTAATAGGTGCAGAAAAAAACATTTAGCAAAATACAACATTCTTTCATAATGAAAACTTTCAACAGATTAGGTATAAAAGGAATGTACCTCAACAAAATAAAGGCCATATATGATAAGCCCAGAGTTAACATCATAGTCAATGGTGAAAAAGCTCGAATGCTTTTCCTTAAAGATCAGAAACAAGACAAGGATATTCATTCTCACCGCTTCTTTTCAACACAGCACTGTACATTCTAACCAGAGCCCTTAGGCAAGAAAAAGAAATAAAAAGCATCCAAATGGAAAAGAAGAAGTAGAATTGTCTGTTTGCAGATGACACTATCTTATATATGGAAAACCTTAAGACCACCAAAAAAAATATCAGAACAGATACACAAATTCACTAAAGTTGCAGGATACAAAATCAACATACAAAAACCAGTTGTTTCTATATGCAAACAATGAACTATCCAAAAAAGGAATTAAGAAAACAGTCTCATTTATAATAGCATCAAAAACAATAAAATACTTAAGAATAAACTTAATCAAGAAGATGAAATATCTGTACACTAAAAACTATAAGACATTGTTGAGAGAAGTTGAAGAAGACACAAATAAATGGAAAAATATCCTAGAGTCATGGATTGGAAAAGTGAATATTGTTAAAATGTCCATACTATCCGAAATGACCTACAGGAAAACCTGCCATTTGTGACAACTTGGATGAACCTGGAGGACATGCTAAGTGAAATAAGCCAGTCACAGAAAGACAAATATTGCATGATCTCAGTTACATGTAGAATTTTAAAAAGCCAAACTCATAGAAATAGAGAGTAGAATGGTGGTTACCAGGGTTTGGGGGTTGAGAAAATTGATATTTTGGTCCAAGGAAAAAGTTATACTGTCTATAAAAAGTGTATGGTGTCTGTAGTTATAATAATATATTGCATAATTGAAATTTGCTAAGTAAATATTAAAGTGTGCTTACCACAAAAAGTAACTAGGTGAGATGATGGATATGTTAATTAGCTTTATTTTGGTGAACATTTCACAATGTATATATCATAATGTCTTGTTTTACACCTTAAGGTTAGGTGCTGAGAAATAGAATGGTATTCTTGTTACTTTTTAGAAAGCCTGTAGTTTTTTTAAATTTTAACTTTTAATAATTCTTTAATTTTTAAATTATAGTTGGCATACAGTGTTATATTAGTTACAGGTGTACACCATGGTGATTAGACATTAATATATCTTATGAAGTGATCACCCCAGGAAATCTAGTGCCCACCTGACACCATACATAGTTATTAAAATATTATTAGCTATATTCCTTATGCTATACTTTATATCCCCATGACTATTTTGTAACTACCAATTTGTACTTCTTAATTCCTTCCCCCTTTACACTCACCTCCCCAACCCTCCTCCTATCTGGCAAACATCAGAATGTTCTCTGTATGTATGAGTTTGTTCCTGTGTCATTTGCTTGTTTATTTTGTTCTTTAGATTCCACATATAAGTGAAATAATATGGTATTTGCCTTCGTCTGACTTACTCCACTCAGCAGAATACCAAGGGGACCTATATTTCTTTACTGAATTGGTGAACAAGTACTTCAGAATTCCTTGTCATATTGAGTCTTTTTTTTTCCCCTCATTTTCCAGTCTTGCCGAATAATTTCTTAAACTCCCAGTTCCAACAACTGGAGAAGAATCTTAATTCTGAAGAGTCAAAGGCAGCATTGTATCTACTCAGCACAGTTGTTTCTAATTGAAAAGTGTCTTATTCCTTTTAGGTGATAATGACTCCTGTTATTCCTTAAAAAATGTGAAGCTTCTTGATAGGGTACAAGGGACTCATCTACGTCACTTTGGTGTGCATGGGCAATGTGAATGTTCTTAGCTTAAAAAGTCATCTGGGTTATTTCTATTCGATTTTTCCCACTAGCTTGTTATCACTGAAAATTTTAACGTACCTCAAAAATAAAAAAATATATATTTTGTATGAATATATAATTATAATAGTGAAAAACCTGGAAATTAATGAAATATCCAACATTAAGAAAATCATCGTGTATTAATCGAATGCTCTGTATTCCTTAAATTGACAACTGTGAAGACTAGCAACTTAGATTAATATTTACAAAAATTTAAATAGAATAGAACATGAAATTCTAATATGAATTATGATTACAACTATATGAAATACAAAAAGATAAATTTAAAATGGAATGTAGAAAAAACATAGCTGTATTAGCATGGCGAATCATGGGTGTTCTCTTTTAAACTTTTTATCATTATTTTAACAACTTTTAAATTATACTGATAATTTTCCAGGGTGCCTTACCGTCCTTTCATGCTCTTCATCCCATGTGTGAAATTTCATTTTTTTAAAGCTTTATTGAGGTTTAGAAGACAAAAATTATAATATAATTAAAGTGTACAATTTGATGATTTGATGTGACATATGTATACTTTGTAAAAGTGTCCTAATAGTTGATTTAATGAACATATCCATCATCTCATGCATTTGCCCCGCTCCCTTTGTTTTAGTGAGAGCACGTAAGTTCTACTCTCTAAGGAAAATTCAATTATAGGATTCAGTATTATCAACCATGGTCGCCATGTTATATATTAGATCCTTGGACCTTTTTCATTTTACAACTGAAAATTTGTACCCTTTTACCAGTGTCTCCCCATCCTCCAACTCCTGGCAACCACCATTCTATTTTCTATTTCTATGAGTTTGACTTTTTTCTTTAGATTCTACAGGTAATGATTCCATGCAATGTTTATCTTTGCCTGGCTTATTTCACAGGTTCATCCATGTTGTCACAAATGGTGGGATTTCCCTTTAATATAGCTGAATAATATTCCTTTGTATACATGTACCATACTTTATGCATTCATCTATAAACAAACACCTAGATTGTTTCCACACCTTGGCTATTGTGAATAATGCTGCACTGAACATGGAAATACAGATATCTCTTTGAAATAATGATTTAATTTTCTTAAGATATATACCCAGAAGCGAGATTGTTGGATCATACGGCAGTTCTATTTTTAATTTCCTGAAAGACCTCTGTACTGTTTTCCATAAGTGGCCGTAGCAGTTTACATTCCCACCACCAGTGTATTAGGGTTCCCTTTTTTCCACATCCTCTCTAACTCTCGTTATTTCTTGTCTATTTGATAATAGCCGTTCTAACAAGCGTGAAGTGATATTTCATTGTGGATTTAATTAGCATTTCTCTGATTATTATTGATGTTGAGCACCTTTTCATGTACCTGTTGGCCATTTGTATATCGTCTTTGGAAAAATGTCTGTTCAGATCTTCTGTCTATTTTTAAATCTGTTTTTTTTTTTTTGCTATTGTAGGAGTTCCTTGTATAAATTAGGGATATTAACCTCCTATTGAATATTTGGTTTGCAAATATTTTCTCCCATTTCATTGGCTGTCTTTTAATTTTGTTGATGATTTTTGTGAGATTTCTAATGGAAGGGAAGAATAGAAAATATTCATTGTCACTTTATAACTTATACTGATTATTGAGTGTTAATTAAATGCACTTAGAACTCAACCAGAGAGAGTGTTGTGTTTTGGTTGTCTGAAAAAGAAAACAATACCTTTTTTGTTTGTTTCTAGAGGTGACTTGGAAAAACAGGGTCAAATGTAGAGATAACTGTGTGATTTTGTTATTTCTTTTTTAACTTTAGGTAAAAAGATATGATGATGCCCTACAGTGGTACTGTTATTCTCTGAGATTTTATGAAAATGATCCAAGGGATCTGGACTTGGCCAAGCTGAAGAGGAACTTAGCTTCCTGTTACCTGCGTTTGGAACTACTCGATAAGGTCTGTCGATTCATCTCTTTTTCAAGGGCAGCAAATGTCATGCTCAGTGGCAGAGAGGTAGTTGCAGTGGTATGACTTCCTGTTAGATTAGGATATCTGAGAGTTCCCTCATACAGGATTCAGTCAAATTGGTATTTTCTTGATTTACATACTCTACACATTAATCAGTGGAATTCCCAAAAGGAGATAGAATTTGGGAGATTATAAATTCTATGACTTATTGTTTATATTTTGCACTCTGTTCTGAACAAGTTATCTGCTACTAACCATCTATAATATTGTCCTTTGAAGCAGACTAAATTTTGCGGTACATATTTTTTTTTTTGTCAAGCATTTAAGGAGAACAAATGCTTGGGTGAAATGGTCATTCTTTTACTTTCTGGGTTATTACTGCCTTTGTATCCACTCTAGAAAATGTTCAGCAATTGAGTTTTTATTAGGACAAAATTCTTGAAAGTAAAAGATGAAAATTTATTTAAGGATAGAACCATTCATACTTCCTAAAGCAGTTGGAACATTTCTTCCTTTTGTTATCAGGAGATGGTATTGGCTTGTGAAAGGACAAAAAACAGGAAGACAAATAATTAGGACAAGTGTGGACACAGATAAAATATGAAGGTTTTTGTTGCTTTTCAAGTTTAATGACAAGTTTAGGAGAAAGTATGTGGTTAAGGGTTGTAATTCCAGACACTTCCTTTGAAGATTTATTTACTTTGAAGAGTTGTTTATCTGACTAAATACTTCAGATTTTCTTTCAAAAGAATATATACCATTTAGTTTATATGTTATAAATTTATAGTCCTGGAAGAGAAGTTGAAATTTAACTTAACTCATCATAGCTTTGCACAAGCTAGCATTTGTTTCATAAAGATAGTTGACCACTGTTTACTTAAAGACTTGAAGATTATCATACAGATTTTGTTACCTCATTCATTATCTTTCTGCACAGGATATCATTAACTGTTTCAGAAAGATAGTTGCCTACTGCTGACTTAACATTTTTGTAATTTCCATGATGTATGTTAGCCTGGCACATTGGGAAGGACCAGAGCCTAGAGCGAGACATGCCAGTTGAGGGGATGGGTGCATCTGTAGGCCAGGAAAGAATACCTAACCAGGTCGTCGACGTAGAAAGAACACAGTATGTACACCGTGCTAGTCTCTGAGGTTACAGAGATGAACAAGAGATAGATGCCTTCAATTCAGCCAAGCAGCTGGCATCAGGGAATCCTAATGGGCAGATAAGCAGATCATGGCAACGAGGGAAGTCTAAGTATTGAAAGTATTTCATAAGTTAGGTACACAAGTAGTGGGCATTATATAAATGTATCAGTGAACAGATCTTCAACCATAGAGGCAGGATTCTAATCTTTGGGGTGTTGGGGATACGTGTAGATAGACGAGAAAGAGAAGGTGGCGCTCCAACCTGGAATATGAGGCTGTTTCTAAGAGTAGAGCTCAGGCATAAGGGGCCAGGCTGGGATACATTTACCATAGGGGAATACAAAGTAACTAGATACAGTCTCCCAAGACTGGAGGCAGTGGTTCATAAATCTCCTCTAACCAATGTCAAGTTTGGTTCTCGAGGCCTAATATAGGCCTGAGCCTGTAATTGGGAGTTCAAATGCTGTTAGTAGCGAGGAAGGGAAGAAGAGGAGAGTGGGAAATGAGGCATACTCAGTGTATGACTATATCATTTAAGGCGAGATTGGCAGTGAAGGCAAAGGTTATTCTGACAATGTTCAAGGAAACCTCACTGATTACTGTTAATGTAGTTTTCCATTTCATTCTTCCTTTCTCGAACTTACCAACCGTTGATTTAATACCCTCCATATGGGAGGAATACTCTCGTATGTACTAGGACAAAGAGAAAGGTAAAAAAAAATTACACAGTTCATTATATTTTACTATTCCCACCTAGCCTTATTAATTTTCATCGTCTGTCTTTTTTTCACTTTTTCCCTTGAGCTATGTGAACATTGTTCAGAAAATTTATGAAACCATGTTTATTGGATATGCTAAACTTTCATGGTTTTTCAGCTCGGCACTCAGTAAAACTAATTATTGTTGGCTTTGTATCATATTCCTCGCAAAGGTGATTCCAAAACATTTTCTTGTCCTTTAGCCCCCATGACTTATCCTTTCTTTTAGCAGAAAACTGTATCTTGTAATTTTCTGAGCTTGTAGCAACGGACATGAACTTCATCAACTTTTCTCCTCTTTACTCATCCTTTCTTCTCCCATTTCTCTGAGAAAGAAGTAACTTTCTCTGAGGACCTTCTCTAGAAATCTCAACCTTAGCTCTTTAATCTTTCTTTCTTGACTGTTTCTTTCCCCATCACTATATATTTTTGAGATTTTCTTTATTCTTCGACCTTATCATCCTCTTTAAATTATAGTTCTCTCTTCGTCTTTCCTTTCATCACCAAACGTTTTAACCTGAAATTAACCACCTATATTTTTTCAGTATTCATTAATTCATTCAGAAAATATTTATTGACTGCCTACTACATGTTAAGTACTGTACTAGGCACTGGAGATATAGTAATGAATAGGCAAAACTCCTACAGTCATGGATTTTATATTCTACCAAGAGAAACAGACAATACAAAGATAAATGTTGTGGTATGTTACAAAAGTCAGCAAATTTTCTGTAAAGAATCAGATAGTAAATATTTTAGGCTTTCTAGGCCATGTAGTCTCTGTTGCTGTTGTCTCATGAAAGCCGCCATAGACCGTATGTAAACAAATCGTCATGGCTCTGTTTCAATGAAACTTCATATTTAGGAACACTAAAATTTAAATTTCCTTTATTTTTATTGTGTCATAAAATATTATTTTTCTTTTCATTTTTTTTTTCAACTTTTCAAAGATATAAAACCAGTTTTAGCTTATGGACTGTGCGAAAAATAGATAGTGGGCTGGATGTGGCCTATAGGCTATAGTTTGCCAACCCCTGATATATTAAATACTGATAAGAACTAAGGAGAAAATTAAGCAGGAGAGGGTAGTATTAAATGTTTTAGAAGAGGAATGAAAGGTCGAAATTTTATTTTATTTTTTAATTAAGTTTATTTTTCAGTTACATTTGACATACGTTGGGGGGATTTGGAGCGGAAGAGTGACATGGGAAAGCACTGGCTTTTATTTTAGTAAGATCATTCTGGCCACTGTGTTGAATAGACTAGGGTGGTTGCAAGGGTGGAAGCAGCGAGACCAGTTAGGAGGCCATTGAAATTATCTAGGCAAGAGGTGATAGTGTCGTGGACCAGGGCAGAAAAAGTGTGGATGGTGAGAAGTGGTCAGATTTCTGACAGATTTCTCTGACATACCAGATGTAGGTTAGGAAAGAAAGAGACTCGAGGATGATTCTTAAACTTTTGACTTCACTATCAACTCCTCTCTTGATTTTTCCACCTATGATTCTGTAACCTGCTCTTAAGAAGATCACTAGTGATCTTTTAATGATCAAATTTAATGACCTTTTCTTAGTACTCTTTGTCCTCTGATCTCTCTAGCACAAAACAGTATAATTCTGTCAACTACTTCTTTCTGGAAACTCTTTTTGGGTTCTGTGACATCTTTTAATCCTATTACTCTGACTATTCCTTTTTTATTTCTGTTACTAGCTAATCTCTTTTCACCAAATAAATGTTGGATGAGGACAGGTACTATGTTTATCTCGTTCACCATTTTATCCCTAATAACCACAACCACGTTTGGTACATGGTAAGTTTTCAATAAACATTTGTTGAGTGAATTTGTCCTCTGGTTCCTTCTTTTCTATGTTCTATACACTCTCCCCTCAGTAACATAGCAACTGTTTTCTTAGCTTCAACACTTCATTCCCAAATCTAATCTGTAGCCTTGATCTCTCTCTCATAGCCCACATTCACTCTTCTACTGTCTTCGGGTATATGTCCAGCTATCTAAGACCAAAGTCTTAGCTTCGTGGATTCCTTTTTCTCCCCCTATGTTCAATCATGTGCTGAGTCTGATCAAGTCTACCTCTGAAATATTTTTGCCAGCTCTCTCCTCTTTCTTCTTCATCTCATCACCCTAATCCAAGCCCTCATTATTTCTGAGACTATTGGAATAATCATCTGGTTGTTTTATCTTGCTCCGTAATCTTCACTGGCTCCCTGTAAATAAAGGTCAAATTTCTTAGTACTTAAGGCCCTTTATAATCTATAAATTAAATAATCCTGTTTTATTTCCTTTACGTATGTACTGTGTTCGTCTTCAACTGGAGGACCTGCTACTTTCTAACCATGATCCGTGCTTTTCTGCCTCTGCACCTTCCTCTTGCTTCTCTATTGCAAATTACCTCTGCCCTGCATCCCTACCTTTTAAAATTATTGTTTTCAAAGCCTCCTAATGATAGTCTTAGCTTCCTTAGGAAATTTCTGAGAATTGCTCTTCCTCTAAGACTTTGTAACAGTTCTGCTTATACCTAGGTACTTATGTTCTGACTTGTATTCTAGTTATTTGTTTATATGTTTTACCCTCCCCCACCATTAGCTTATGACCTCTTTGAGGAGAGGGACCATATCTTATCTTTATTTTCCCTGATCTGTCTAGCATAGAGCCTAATACATAGTAAGCATTCATTACATTAGGAAATAGTCATAGAGTCTCAATAAATACCAGTCAATTCATTTCTTCTGATTTAGGAATTCCATTTGTTCATGCTCTTTCTGTCCTTGCTACTGTGGATAATTGGAAATTAAAAGTGATCAAGATCAGTGAGTGCCCTTGATTATCAGAACTGAATGAGATTATATTATTTAAAAAATTAGCACATTATTCCTTTCTCTAGTTTCTTTCTCTTTGAGAAGAAGAAAACACATTTTATTTTATTTTGCTCTAAAATGAAATATTGACTTATAGGTCACAAGTTAATTTGGGCATGTCAGAGGAGTTGGAGAATATGTTCCACTGAACTCTTAGTAGATTATGTTACATATTTATCAGTTCATACATTTGACAACATCATTTTG